TGGCAATAGGACCAGACAAGCGCAGCCACGTGACCCGGCAGAAGAAAAATGCTCGGAACGAGCGCTTCCAGCCCCAAAACGCGGAAAGATCCGCACATGTGCAGGAAGTACAGCGGGCGCTCTTCATTCGCCAGCGCCGATGACCGATGGTGCTCGCAACCCTCCCACGCCCTTGCTAGCTTGGTAATAGGACCAAACAAGCGCAGCGACGTGACCCGACGGAAGAAAAACGCTCGGAACGAGCGCTTCCAGCCCCAAAACGCGGAAGGATCCGCACATGTGTAGAAAGTGCAGCGGGCGCTCTTCATTCGCGAGCCCCGATGGCCGATGGTGCTCGCAACCCTCCCACGCTCCTGCTAGCTTGGTAATAGGACTTGACTAGCGCAGCCACGTGACCCGGCGGAAGAAATCGCTCAGAACGAACGCTTCCACCCGCAAAACGCGGAAGGACCCGCACATGTGCAGGAAGTGCAGCGGGCGGTATTCATTCGCGAGCGCCGATGACTGATGATGCTCGCAACCCTCCCATGCCTTTGCGGGCTTGGTAATAGGCCTAGACAAGAGCAGCCACGTGACACGGCGGAAGAAAAACGCTCGGAACGAGCGCTTGCATCCCCAAAAACGCGAAAGGATCCGCACATGTGCTGGAAGTGCAGCGGGCGCTCTTCATTCGCGAGCGCCGATGACTGATGATGCTCGCAACCCTCCCACACCCTTGCTGGCTTGGTAATAGGAGCAGACAAGCGCACCCACGTTACTCGGCGGAAGAAAAACGCTCGGAACGAGCGTTTCCAGCCCCAAAACGCGGAAGGTTCCGCACATGTGCAGGAAGTGCTGCTGGCGCTCTTCATTTGCGAGCGGCGATGACAGATGATGCTCGTAACCCTCCCACGCCCTTGCTGGCTTGGTAATAGGCCCAGACAAGCGCAGCCACGTGACCCGGCGGAAGAAAAACGCTCGGAACGAGCGCTTCCACCCCCAAAATGCGGAAGGATCCGCACATGTGCAGGAAGTGCAGCGGACGCTCTTCATTCGCAAGCGCCGATGACCGATACTGCTCGCAACCCTCCCACGCCCTTGCTGGCTTGGTAATAGGCCCAGACAAGCGCATCACATGTGTCTCCGTGTCCGAATTCAGGTGAAGGCTGCGCATTTCCCCAATGCCAACTGCAATGTCCGATGTTGGGGCTGGTTTAGGCTTACAGCGCATATGAAGATAAACCAGTTTCTATTGCATACTAGGTTCATTACAACATGGTGCTTGGTTTTCCATAAAATTCAGCCCATGACACAGAGACACATTTTCCAATCCACCCGTAAGCCTCTTTCACATCCATTTGACACTATTCCATATCAGGCACGTGCAGGTTATTAGAACTCGTCATTTGGTGCTGCCTTCTTTCCTTTGCCGCCAAGGTCCTTCCACAGCTTTTCATCGTACTGCTTCCACATATCATCATCATAACCCTCTCCCTTCCGGTGATCCACATTCTTCGCAAGGTTCTCAAAGTCCTTGGCTGAAAACATCTGTGGGGAATGCAAGTGAAGAACAAAAGGACGCAAAGGAGATGGGTAAATGAGAAATCATATAACGAACAATGCGGCGCAGGCAGGATGGCAAAACAGGAAGGAAGCAAGTGTAAATACTAGGAGGGGGGTCGTGGAAGGAGGATGAGGAGGGGGGGGGTGGGTGGGTGGGTAGGGGGCAAGAGATGGAGAAGCTACAAAGAAGCATAAGAGGAGGAGAAACACGGCTACACATAAGTCATTTGTGAAAACCAAGAGATTCTCAATAGCGACTGAAACAAGAATTAGAGAAGCCAATTGAGGATCATGGGGAGCAAAGGAACACCACATGGGAAGCATATTTACCTTGATCTTGTCACCGAAGTTTCCAGAAGCCTTCAGTTTCTCTGCATAAGCACAGAAGAAGGTGAGGAGACAACAAGAATGCGACACGGAAAAGAATTGCGAGTCTGACATCACGTTTGGGTCGACTCAAAACGAAGTGACCGGTGAGTCGACAAAAGAATGCGACACAGAAAGAAGTTGTGAGTCTGACATCACCTCCTTACGAACCCCCACCATACCAACCCCTAACCTTATTATTCAGGCCACTTCAAACAATCCAAAATCAAACAGGCACGCGGGGGGGAATAAAAAATGAAACTGAGACTAAGAAATCAACAAACTGCCAACTCACCCAGAATCCTCTGAATGTCAGCATCCTTGGATGACGGATCGTCGCCAGAGGACGAATCAGACGAGGCGGCTTTCTTGGAAGCTTCCTTGGAATGCCTCTGCTGCCTCTCCTCCTCTGTCAGCACCGGCAAGTGGATGGTCTCCCTCAGGCGACTCACAAGATGCTCCTTCTCCTGATACAAGGACAGGGAGGGATAGGGGGAATATGAGAGGCGATGAGGGATGGGAGAGGGAGCAAAGGTTGCTGTGAGCACGGGCAGGTGGATGGTCTCCCTCAGGCGACTCACCAAGTGCTCCTTCTCCTGAGAGTAGGAGAATTGGAGAGAGGAACGGATGGGGGTGAATGAGAGAGATGGGTAGGAGCAAAGGTTGCTGACAGCACGGGCAGGTGGATGGTCTTCCTCGGGCGACTTTCCAGATGCTCCTTCTGCAGAAATTTGGGAAGGGATAAAGGGACAGTGGACAGATGAGAGTAATGGACGAGGGAAGGGAGAGGGATGGGGACAGTGGACAGATGAACAAAGGTTGCTGTCAGCAGCAGCGCGTGAATGGCCTCCCTAGGACGACTCACCAAATACCTTTATTCCTGAAATTAGGAAAGAGAGAGGGATCGTGCGTAAAAAATGGGGGATGAGTAGCATGGATGGAGGAAGTGGAAGAGCGGAGGGAAAGGCAGCTGTCAGCAGTGGCAAGAGTATGCGCTTCTGAAGCTGTCGAAGATGTGTGAGCGATTGGAGGTGACTAAACAGAAAGCACGGCTCATACAACTAGTGCGACTGAGTTGAAACGAGCAACCAGTGTAGTGTAGGGGGGAGAAGGTGAGAAGAGGAACCAGTGTGACAATGAGTCAGAGTGACGAGTGAGAGAGGGGAGAGTGTAAAGAGGGGTGGAGGAAGAGAGAGCGAGTGATGGGTGTGAGGAGACGTACTATGCAGCCTTGGCACTCCACCCCTCGTTCCTCCAGCATTCTCTGCCACACACAAACACAAACCACACACACACCAGCCACACATAACACACACACCAGCCACACATAACACACACACCAGCCACACATAACACACACACCAGCCACACATAACACACACACCAGCCACACATAACACACACACCAGCCACACATAACACACACACCAGCCACACATAACACACACACCAGCCACACATAACACACACACCAGCCACACATAACACACATCAGCCACACATAACACACACACCAGCCACACATAACACACACACCAGCCACACATAACACACACACCAGCCACACATAACACACACACCAGCCACACATAACACACACACCAGCCACACATAACACACACACCAGCCACACATAACACACACACCAGCCACACATAACACACACACCAGCCACACATAACACACACCAGCCACACATAACACACACACCAGCCACACATAACACACACACCAGCCACACATAACACACACACCAGCCACACATAACACACACACCAGCCACACATAACACACACACCAGCCACACATAACACACACACCAGCCACACATAACACACACACCAGCCACACACAAGCCACACACAAGCCACACACAAGCCACACACAAGCCACACACAAGCCACACACAAGCCACACACCAGCCACACACAAGCCACACACAAGCATCACCCAAGCGCCACACACGCAACAACCGAGCATCGCCCACACACAGTCACAGCACACAAAGCCAACCAGAAACGGCTTTCTGAGACGCAAACGAGGCCTGACAGCAAGGCTCCGAATGAAATGCACTGGCATACCAACGAACGTTTGTAAGCTGCCAGAAGGAAAGAAAGGGCCTCTAAGATTGCGAATGCGTGCTCTGCCTACCACACCACTGCAATTCACCATTCTCTCTCTCTTCCCGGTAATTTTCAAAAGCACCGCTCTGGGTACCATGCATCTCTGAACGCACGCCGCTTTGTCCGCATGCCCGACCCTAACACGAAGCTTCGGCACGGGTTTGGACAGATGAGAGATGGGCAGTAATTGCTGACATGGCGTTTGCTCACCTTAAGCTCCTTGACTCGCAGCTTCGTCAGATCCACGTCAGCACTGCCGGCTGATGCTGATTGCTCCTCGGCTTCTAGGGGGAGAGGAGGTAACAGCGAGATTGACAGACAAGAAAGACGAATTTCATAAGGGTATCGACGACGAATCGCAAGTGGTCGGTAGGTGCGGAGGTAGGTGCGGAGTTGAGTTACGAAGCCCTTCATTCAAAATTGCTGATAACAGCCTCGTAATTAATTCGGCAATTGCGTGATCGTGCACCCTAAAGAACTCTCACTTGCCAGAACGAATCGTACCAGCAGCGAGCGTCAAGATGACGAGAAGCGAGATCAGCGCGGCGAGAGCGAGGCGTCGCATGGCGACGACGAGCGACGTCGCGGACGCAAAGAATTCGATGAAGTAAGAAATCAATCACACAAAAGGAAAATGACGAACTGGAAGGCAAGCCTGACTTGAGACTCCCAGAATTGTTCAGGGAAAGAATTCGAGGAATTCGAGAATGTTCGTTCCCTGCTACTTGCTAGGGAATTTCGGTCGATTTGATCGAGGTAGCACCAGGTGGCAGTGGAGCCGACATTGCTACATCGGCAAACACCAAAACTGATACAGTGGTGCGGTGAGCGTGGATCGAACACGCGACCTTCAGATCTTCAGTCTGACGCTCTCCCAACTGAGCTATCCCCGCATGCTGATATCTTGGTTAATTTTATCATTGAACTATAAAACTATTTCTGATTGTTCCTTGCTGTTTCGCATTCGTTATGGCTCCTTACACCAAGCCTTTAGAACCGTCAATCGCGGCGCAGGTTGCGGTACTCTGCAGTTTTCCCAAAGTTGGCTTCCAGGTAGCATGCAACGCGATACGCATAGGCTGTGCCATATTCCCCCCGCGTCTCCCGCTTATTTCCATTTACTACTGTTGCCCCCTCGCACGCATCTGCGCTTTATAATTCGCTGAATTTCCCTGGTTTCCCGCTTTCCATGTCTTCCGTGACTTTCCGCTTCGCGAATTCAGGTGCGGGACGTGCGGTGCGGGTGGGAGGATGCGCAATTCGCGGACCGCTTCACGGTGCACGTGCCGTGCGGCTGGGACAAGCTAGAATGTACGGCCACGATTCACCGTCCATCCTCACGCTGAATACCACACCGTCCATCCCTCTCTCATCCTTCCATGATTGTATCTCCATCCCTCCATCCTTCCATCCTTCCGCTCCTCCATTTCCCTCCATCCGCTCAATGCCTCACCTCCCATCCCCGCCGTCCCCTCATTCCCCATGTCCCCCCGCCCACCGCGGCAATCCCAGGGTACGTGCAGTTCAGCGGCAGTCGCCCGTGGGACCAATCATTCAAACGCGGTCCCTCTATCCCTCCTGGCTCTCCATTTCCCCCCATACCCCCATACTCCATTCCCCCATGCCCCATGTCCCCCCGCCCACTGCGGCAATCCCAGGGTACGTGCAGTTCAACGGCAGTCGCCCGTGGGACCCACCTGACGTCATCTTCCACTCCTCGCCCGATGGCCTCTGCTTCCAACCCCTGCTGTTCCCAGGTGAAACTTCAGGTGCTCCCAGGTGAAGCTTCAGGTGCCACCAGGTGAAGCTTCAGGTGCACCAGTGTGGGTTTTCTTGGTGGTCCAGGTGAGACCTATGCTGGTGGTCCCAGATGAATGTTCTGGTGCAGTCACGCGTGCCATCCTCTCATGCGTGTCGGGTGCAACCAACCATGCAGGAGGCACGGCTAGTGACAGCAGCAGCTGGGGGCTGTTGAAGGACTGGCAGCACAACGACTCCTACCGCCTGCTGCGCATTCACGTTACCGTTTTCAACCCATCTCAACCCATCTCGCACCTCTCATGCATGTGGGATGGGATGCAGGAGGCGCAGGCAGTGAGGGCAGCAGCTGGGGGCTGTTGAAGGACTGGCAACACAACGACTCATACCGCCTGCTGCGCCTCCTGCTGCACCTCAGGTGAATGCTCGCTCTCATGTTGCACCTTGAGTTACCGCTTTGCATCGATTTGAATCTTTCCTGATTTCATATGAATCCTTCTTGCACCATTCATAGTAACAACCCATCATGTCGCATAGCTGGTGCTCTCATCCTAAACCAACTTTCGTTCCTCCACTCACCCCACCTCTCATCCCATCCTAACTCCCATCACCCCACCTCTCATCCCATCCTAACTCCCATCACCCCACCTCTCATCCCATCCTAACTCCCATCACCCCACCTCTCATCCCATCCTAACTCCCATCACCCCACCTCTCATCCCATCCTAACTCCCATCACCCCACCTCTCATCCCATCCTAACTCCCATCACCCCACCTCTCATCCCATCCTAACTCCCATCACCCCACCTCTCATCCCATCCTAACTCCCATCACCCCACCTCTCATCCCATCCTAACTCCCATCACCCCACCTCTCATCCCATCCTAACTCCCATCACCCCACCTCTCATCCCATCCTAACTCCCATCACCCCACGCTTCCCCCCCCCACCTCCCCCCCCCCCCCCCCCCCACTCCTCTCTTTTCCGCCTTCCCATGCGCGCAGGGCGCTGTTCCTGCAGCAGCAGCGGCAGCAGGCGGAGGCTGTGGAGGATGGGCGGGTCAAATTCGAACTTAGTACGCTGGCGCAGCAGGTGAGGGGTCAGCACACTGGCGCAGCAGGTGAGACGAGGAGGGGAGACGGTCGGTGAGTCAGGCAGTGGTCATGGGAGGGACCCAAGGAAATGCTGGTGCAGGCAGCAAGGGAGGGATCAAAGGGACAGGCAAAGGAAAGGAAGCGGGAAGAAGGGGTCAAAGTGATTGTTTTGAGGACGACAGGTCAAAACGATCTCCCTCAGATGATCACTTTGAGGGCAACACACTCCTCCCTTCATCTCTCTCCTCTCCTCTCTCCTTTTGATTCCTCTCCTTTTGCTCCCTTCTCTCGTTCTCCTCCCCTCACTTGTCCACCAGGAATTTGAGGTCTATGCTCCACTCACGGCAGGCAAGGTCCGTTTCTGACCACGTACCCAACAGCTGTCCCCTATACCATAGGCGCATGGCATAACCTATTTACAAAGCATTCTATTTCTGTTCCACACACCAAGCTCTGTGTGTACAGTACACGCTAGGAACCACACTCCACCCCACTCCACCACACGGAAATCAAATTTCTCAGTGCCCTGTTTCCAACAATCCCATGCATGTCTTGCCTCCTGCAGTCGTTTCCTGAGGAGTTGCAGCTGGCAGTGCCAGTGCTGGGAATCGATCTCCGCCCTCTCACTCACTTCAGGTGCGTTGTTTTGAGGCGTTTCCAAGCCATAGTCATGCCAGTGCGCCCCCTCACCCCTCTGAAGCGAGTGAGGGGGCGTGTAACTCTATTTGCACTCCCCCTGCTCTGCCTCTCTTCTCTTCGCTCACATCAATCATTCCCTCCACTCACTCCCTTCGTCCCCCCCGCTCCTCCCCCCCTCCTTTCCCATCCATCAGCATCAGGTGGTGGTCTGACTGACTGGCTCAAGCGCTGTGGCAGCGACCTGCACTTCAGCCCCCCATTTCCTCCATCCCTCCTTTCCTCCTCACCGCACGCGCACTCCCCTCCTCCCCCCCTCCTTACCCATGCATCAGGTGGTGGTCGGATTGGCTCAAGCGCTCTGGCAGCGACCTGCACCTCAAGCTGCTGGTGGGTGTTTTGAGCGGTGCAGGGGGGTGCAGATGGGTGCTGGGGGGTGCTCGTGCAACCTTCACCTCAAGCTGCTGGTGGGTGTGGTGGGGGGGGAGGGGGTGTTGCTGGGAAGTGGATTGGTGGGGTGTTGAGGGGCGCTGGGGGTTGCTGGTGGGTGGCGGTGGGGTGCTGGTGCCAGGGCGAATCTAACCTCAGAGTGATGGTGGATGGAGAGATGACTTGCACACCTACCCACCCATCTCTTTCTCCTGCGTCTTCCTTACTGATCGAGTTCCCCCTCTCTTTCTCCCGCATCCCCCCCACAGATCAAGTTTCCCATCTCGGGAAGCAACAACAGCGCCAATGGCAAGGCCTCCACACCTCAGGTGAGAGAGTAATTGAGTGAGTGAGTGAGTGAGTGAGTGAGTGAGTGAGTTAGTGATGAAAGCTTGACGGCATCCTATTTATCGTGCATTACCTCCAACTCCTCATCTCTCCTCTCCCTCTCATTCCTCTTTCCGGTGCCCCACCGCCCTCCTCCCGCGTCCCCAGTTGAAGCTAGGAGGCCCGCCGCTCCTTCTCTCCCTCCTTGGCTTCCCCGAAACCAAGCTGCCTGCCTGGACCGACTCCATGTGAGACACTGTCGCGTGTTGTAGCGAGATGCCATTGCAACAAGTGGCGTTGTAAGGGGGTGCGTCTGAGTCAACACATTAGTCACCTCCTTGGCTTCCCCAAAGCCAAGCTGCCTGCCTGAACCGACTCCATGTGAGCAGCGTGGCTCTATAGGGACTCTTTTTTTGTTTCTGCACACTCTTTGGATCGTCGTTTTGTGTGTGCATGGAAATGGGCTTCAGTGTTGTGCATGTGTGGCATGCCCTGTGCTGCTTGCTTGCTGACTTGTTCTGGTCACACATGCTCCCTCCCGTCATTTATCCAGCTCTTTTCAAACATGACCACACATCATCGCTCACACCACACCCCATTGCACACCTTCCTGCAGGTGCACAGTTGCGTATCTGCCTGAGCTGGCTGCATTCATCCATCAACGAGTAAGTCACACCGCACTCCACATCTTTTCACCACCCTCCACCTTGTTTCACCCTTTTCCCAGATTCATCGGAGCCTTGATACGGTTGTGTAAGCAAGCTGCATAAGAGGCGCCCTTTTGATGTGATGTATCAGACTGTAAAGCGGTCAAATTTCTTCCATCGTAAAGAAAAGTGTGCGGTGAGCGTGGATCGAACACGCGACCTTCAGATCTTCAGTCTGACGCTCTCCCAACTGAGCTATCCCCGCATGACAGCAAGTATGCCTTAGCTATTCCCAGCCGTTGTTCCTGTGCATGATATCTTTCTTTTTTCTTTCTGTCTTGCTATCCCTCTGTCACGCCAGCTTGATAGTGCTGTCTCTTCCATGCAAAGCCGTGCGGACTTTATTTCTGCTCTGCCTGCGGTATTTGGGCAGCCTTTAGAAACGGACACAGTGAGTGCTTGTCGTGCTTCAGTGCAGGTACGAACAATCCTTGCATGAAAGAGCACCAAACCTTCACCACTGCCTTGATCCCCTCATCCCCTTTCCCCTCGATTACTCTCCTCAATCATTACCCTTGTTCCCCTTCTCCCCATTCCCCCTTGATCCCCTCGTCTCATATTCCCCTCATCCCGGCAGCAACTATTCTCTCAGACCACGCTTTTTGTGTCTGCCAACAGCTGCATATGCCTGGTGCGTGCTGCCCCCACTTCCTGCATGTGCCAGCCACGTGCCCCTCACACCACCTGCATGTGCCTTCCACGTGCTTGTCCCAATGCTCTCCTTGTCCCGACCATGCGCTCTCATGCTCCGTGCAACATTGCACAGACGTGTGTGTAAATGCAGGGCTGCCAGCAGCAGCGCTCTGTGTGTCATGGGAAGCTCTTTTCCCCTTGCTCTTCCACTGCAATCATATCCCCCTCCTCCTACACTCTTTCCGTCCCTCTATCACCCCCTCATTGTCTCACCCGTCATCCCTCTCACCCAACTCCTCAGGTGCGCATTGCCCTGCCACCATCCTTCCCACAGCAGCAGCCCTCCATCACCCTGCAATCCATTCATGTAAGTGACGGTTTTTATTCACGTACCAGCAAAAGAGTCTCGTTTGTATAAGCAAATCATTGATTCTTGTAACCAACACAGTCAGTCTTGTAAAGCAATCCATTCAGATAAGCGAAACAATCTGTTAATGCACGCAGAACCATGCATGCATGTATTCAGAACAATACATCTGTTTTGTACCTTCCTACACCGCACACCACAGCACTTCACCGCACAGAACCGCCCCGTGGCGTCGGAGCCAATCAGCAACTTCCCTTGGAGCCCCCGATGGTCCCCTGCTCAAATGGCACAGCGCCTCTGGTGAGTGGAAGGGGGGGTAGTTGTGCTTGGTGGGTGCCTAGTGTTGACTGCATTTGCCTTTGCAGTGCTCACTGTCTTTCATTGGAATAGACTCATTGCTCTCTTCCTTCCCTGCCTGCTCCTGCTCCTCCTGCCCCGCAGCTCGTTTCTAGAAGATGAATCTGTTGCTTTCAAGCGCTTCTGTATTGACGTCTCCAGAGCAGCTGCTTCGGCAAGAACTTGATGTTCCTTTTGGAAACCGTGATCTGAGAACACTACAATTTGAAATCATGATTCTGTTGTCATGCTTGATGCGTTTTTTGTTAAAAAGGGTGAGTTGATATCAATCGGCTGTTTGAAAAGGGTACAAACACCCCAAAACTTCCTGATTCAGCTGCCCAACACCATATCAAATCAATACTTCGGCGAGTACAGCTGTGGCGCCTCCTGTGTGGAAACAGGCGCGGTGACATTGCCGTACTCGTGGATGCGGTTGAAGCGCCAGTAGTTGTCCGGCAGGTCTCCCCCGGGGAACCACTCCCCCAGCTCCGCGAATTTCTGCGCCACTTCTGATACAGCGAAGTAGTTGATGGGGAACTGGTCGCTCGTCAGCACCCCCTCCGTCTGCCTGGGAATGCGCTTGTACTGCATTTAAGAGGGAAACATGTAAGGGGGACGGATAAGGGAGAATCTGATGAGGGGAAAGAGGCTGGAAGTAGTTGATGGAGAACTGGTTGCTCGTCAGCTCTACCTCCGTCTGCCTGGGAATGCGCTTGTACTGCCAATAGAGGGGGTGCAGATAAGGGAAAGGCAGAGAGCGGGAAAGAGGCATGGAGTGGTTGATGGGAGATTAACCCCTCAGCACCACTCCCTCCGCCTGCCTTGGGATGCGCTTGTGCTACAACAAGTGAGGGGGACAAGGTAGGTGGGGGGGAGAGACGGGACATGGGGAGACAGGAGGTGGGGAGACAGGAGGTGGGGAGACAGGAGGTGGGGAAAAGGGAGGTGGGGAAAAGGGAGGTGGGGAAAAGGGAGGTGGGGAAAAGGGAGGTGGGGAAATGGGGGAGGCTAAGTAGTTGATGGAGAACTCCTAGCTGGAAAACACTGCCTTCATTTCCTTAGGGATCTGCTTGTGATGAGGAGGGGTGATGGGGCAATGCAGAGCGGAGTCAAGGCATAAGTGGCGATAGCAGGACTGACCCCCCCCAAGGAACGTGATAGTGGTGAAAATCACAGCATCCTTATGCAAGCTAGCCGCATCTGCCCTCTCTCCCAGCACCACCCTCTATAACTTCACAGACAAAACTCAGATGAGCAGAGAGGACTCACCAGGAGGAAGGCAATAATCCGGGCGATGACAGCATCTTCGGGCAGATTAACCGCCTCGGAATAAACCCGCCCCAGCACGATGCGGTGGCGCGTCTCCTTGTCGTCCTTGGTGACGAGGATATCGTACATCCACCCGCCGTTGGTCTTGATCTTGGCATCCATCGTCAGGTCGAACTCTATCACCTCCCCGGAGGGAGCTGTCTCTGTGACGTGCACCACCCGCGCTGCCGACGCCTCCTGCTCCGCTGCTGCCGCTGCCAGCTCCTCCGCTGTCTGCGACTTGGACTGGTGAGGGGAGGGGGAGCGGCAGGGGAGAGGGGGAAAGGGGAAGGATGGGAGAGGGAAGGGGCAGGGGGAAGGAGGGAGGGGTGCATGGAGATTTGTAACATTGAAAGGATTGAAAACAGGGCGCAAGGGAGACTGGCAAAGGACGGAAATTAGGTGCCGAATGGAGGTGAGGTGAGGTGCAGTTATTGAGGTGACAAGCCTCGTTTACAATGGCAACAGGCAAGCCCTTAATCACGCACGAGTGAAGGCGTGGGTGTGAGTCAGGTGTGTGGCGAGGAAGTAAGTGGGAGGACAAGGGCGTGAGTGAGAGTGTGAGTAAGAGAGTGTGTGAGTGGGTGAGGGTGAGTGTGAGTGGAGAGCGGGCATACCGGCAGCACGTCGCACTTGCCCTCCTCAATGAGCTTCGGGTCATACTCCATCTGCATGGCAACGGACAGAATGGACAAGAACAAGCTATTAACATTCCATGAACGTGCGAGCAGTCAACAAGCGGTGAACAAACAACAAAAAAAAACAAAGAAGGGACAAGCAGTCAATGACTGGTGAACAATAAAAGAATGGTTTTTTCCCGTTCTGTTGTGATTCGTCTCCTGGAGCCACAAAACAAAACACAAGGCAGTTCGCATTGTCTGGCACGTGAGGGGCAGTTGTCTTTTCACCCGTCCTCTCTGCTGGATTTGCCACCACTTCCGCACAAGAAAGGGCCGGTGATGTTCCGATATCATATCACAAATCCTCGGCTTTGCAGAACGATTTAGTGCCCCTCCGTACAATCACATTTGTTCACCGAACCTCGCAATATCAAGCGCGAATCCAGCATCCAGCGCACTCTGTTTCCCTCGCACCGCACCGCACCGCACTCTCACACCCCTTGCTCAATGCCCACGCTGCTGTCACATAACTCACATTCATCAGCAGCCGTGCTACAAATTACGCCCGTTGTTTGAGTTGTTATCACACCCGCAACTCAAACACCTTCGCACTGTCACATTTAATTCAACGCACCTCCTCCTTGAGACCGCGGTCCACCATCATCTGCAGCAGCGTCTTCGCCTTAGACTGCGCCGCCGCCACCTTGCCTCACACAACACCCCTTATTATAATCACACCCACAACTCATACATCCTCGTTACAGTCACATCAACGCACCTCCTCCTTGAGGCCGCGGTCCACCATCATCTGCAGCAGCGTCTTCGCCTTGGACTGCGCCGCCGCCACCTTGCCTCTCTCCGAGATCGATCCCGCGTCCGCTGGTCGCTCCCAGTACCCCCTCTGGACGGGGTCCGTGTTGCCGACAGGCGGAATTCCCATCTCCGAGAACCACTGTGGCACGCAGAAAGGTTGAAAGAGGTTAAGCAATGAACGAGCTGGATATAGACGGAAATTTCGTGCACGATAGCTGATTGTTGGAAAATAAGGGAACTACGAATCTGGGTGATATATGGAAAAAAACAAGGTTGTAAAAACCCGTGAATCTCACTGACATCAGCAGAACCCTGACCGTTCAAATGGATGCTCGCTCCCATAACGACCCGCTATAAAAATCCCCACTAACCGTACCTGCGCGCGGATGTCAATCATTTGCTGCTGGTTCATAACCCACAGGTTGTAAAGCTTGTAGCAGAGCTCGGGAGGACGTATCATAACCCGCTATAAGCATCCCCGACAGTCGTACCTGCGCGCGGATGTCAATCATCTGCTGCTGGTCCATGGTCGACAGGTTGTACAGCTTGTAGTAGTAGCAGAGCTCGGGGCGCCGTCCCATCAGCGTTCGCAGCGAGTTGCGCACGTCCTTGGAGAACCCGATATACTGCACCTTCTTGTTCTTATCGAGTACAGCGAACACGGACGCCGTGGTTCCCGGCTCGACGGGAGGGACTATGCGGCCCTGCTGGTTGATGTAACTCAGTAGCGGGAGCTCGTTCAGCGACGGAAGTTTCGTGGAACCGCCCGCCGCGACGACCACGGCGCGTGATGCGGAGCGGGAATTGCGGCTGGATTGGCTCTTAGCGAGTGTGATTCTGACGCCTTGGAAGGTGGATGATGCGGATTTTGAGACAAAATCTGATCCGAGGTGGACGCGAGGGGACGCCACGTGGCAGGTCGCGGTAGGCCTGGACGAGGCATTGCGTGCTGACGAGGCAATTTGAGAGACTGAGCTGGCAGCAACTGCTGCTCGTTGAGCAACGGACGCCATGATAGCAGCGGCGAAGCTACGACGCAATCAGTCAAGCAAACGTCCTGGATAAGCAAGCGAAAAGCCACAAGCAATGTGGCTGCTTTGCGTTGCTGTTGCACGCAACACGCTCTCGTTTTGCAGAGAGTGAGGCAAGTGAAACAGAAAGCAAGGACACTGGGTGCCAGAAATAAGTTTTTTTGGCAACGTACACCAAGCCCTTGACTACTCTCCCCCCTCACCTTTTGCTGCTCACTTGCTTCCGCTGTTATCCGCTCGGCTCGGCTCGCGGCAAATCCGATGCCCTGGGCTGGGGAGCTGCACCTCGGGATTGGTAACGCAATCACGGCTTGCTCACGTGGACGCCTCGACAAAATGGAGAGGGGCTGATGTGGCAGGAAATGGAATTTCGAGACAGCATACACCCGATAATCAGCACTTAGTGAAACACGCAACACTGCGTTATCTTGTTCTAATATATTTTCCGGCAGAAAATCTTTACTTTCAACATTAGAGATACATGGTACTTGAAGTGTTTAGTCAGGAAACATAGCTACAGACACGTGCATTGTGGACCCTAAATAAGCCTACAAAGGCAAATCAGCCTCTTTGGTTCCCAGCTAAAGCCTACAAGTGGTTCATCCTCAGCTGCTGTTCATTACTAGCTATTGCCCACCTAAGACCACCTAGCCAGAGGGTGGTCGTAGAGCAAACCTGAGGTTAGGACGCGTCAACTCCTGCAAAAACCGGCGATCGATCGTGCAATATCGATCGTCCACCGCACTGAACTCCCGCAATTGCATCCATAATGTTTAAGAACCTCTTCTAACCCAGTCAAAAAACGATCCTGCGCAGGATCGATCGCCGGATTTTGCAGGAGTTAACGCGTCCTTAGTGTGTGTCAGCAGGGTACCATGCCATGACGTCACTACCCGGACAGAGCGGCATCAGAAGGCGGCTTGCATGAGGGGATCCTGAGCTGTGATGCTGATGTCACCATAGGGCTCTGTCTGCTGTACCTGAATGTAGTCCCTCGTCTTCAGCACCTGGGGGATCAGGGTTTTGTACAAAGTTTACAACAGTACAGAGCTTAGCCCATCTGGGATGAAGAAAAGTCCAGAGTTTAGGCTAAGTGGGAGAGCACAGAAAGGGCACTGGACAGGCGAATCTTGGGGATCTGCCTAGAGTGAAATCATATCAGCTCATGCAAGAACCCGCTCGCCTAAGCCATGCACTCACGAGGGTCTCAAAGAACATCCGAGCAGCCTCGCGTCTCGGCCGTCCCTTCACCACTGCCAGAAGCGACACCGATGGCTGCGATCGTGCCGAATCCACCCCCGCCGATTCCTCTGTCCCCACTCCTACTCCTGCTCCTCCTGCTGCTCCCCCCCTTCCATCACCTGCCAGTGCCTGCTGCTCCGCTAGAGCCGTCAGCGAGTGCTGCAGAAACT